AACCTGGAACCTAAACCGGGAACGCCCTAAACTCGGATCCACCTTGGTCCTTGAGCAAGGTCACCTACATGCAATGTCACTGCAAAATGTCCTATTTCCACGAGTCCGAGTCCTTCCACTAAGCAACATGGGGTACGCTGGCAAGGAAATTGTCATACCTACTTGGCTAATGGCTCCCAGCAGTGCTTAGCACAGTTCCAAGCACATAGTGTCAGCAATGAGGATTATTGTTATTGAGCTCTTCCTCAAGGGTATGCTAAGAGAATTTCTAATTACTGGCACTCAGCAAGCCTTTGCCATAGTTATCTATTGCTGCATAACAAATTGTCTCAAAGTTATAAACATTAACTGTCTCATATAGTCCCTGATGACCAGGAATCTGAAGGCAGCTTAGTTAGGCGATTCTGGCTCAGGGTCTTAGAAGGTTGCAGTCTATTTGTCAGCTGAAGCTGCACTCATCTGAAGCCTTGATTGGGACTGGAGGACCAGCTTCCAATCTCTCTCAGGTGCTATTGGCAGAAGGCTTTTATTCCCTGTCATGTGTCCCTGCTCATAACTAGGAAGCTGATTTTTTTCTAAAGCAGTGATCAAAGAGAAAACAAGCAGGACCAAGATGGAAGCTCACGGTCGTTTACAATCCAATATTGAAAGAGATAGCCCATCACTTCTGCCATGTTCCATTGGTTTCACAGACCACCCCCAGTGCAGTGTGAGCAGGAATACACTAGAATGTGAACCCTAGGAGGTAAGATCATGAGGGCATGTTGCAGGCAGGCTACTACTGCCTTTAAATAGCTTCCTGAGCTATTTAAAGTCATTCTTTTTTTTTCTTTAATTTTAGATTAGTCAGAAGACTTTGAAATGATTTTAATGGTTTATAATCTATCAGCAAATGAAAGGCATCTGAGCATCAAGACAAATAATGTCTGAGTGAGGTCTGCTGGCCACTTGGAAAGCATGTGGCTCCATATGCCTAAGAAATCCACAGCTGACTTCAGTAAAATCTACACTGTTAAATATTCTAGCTCTGCACGTTCACAGAGTGCAAGGGACAGGCGTTGTCTGTCTATACTAACAAGTAAAAATGGCTAGTGGATGTAAGTAAGAATGGCACAGTGTACTAATCTGTATTTATGATGGGGTCTGTATTTAAAATAGCAAGAATAAACTATGCAACCTGAGAAGTCTAATTCTAGCAGGCAGTTACATTGAAATAACATCATACTTCACTCACTCCCCAACTGATGTCTTTGAGGGCCAGTTTGAACACCAATAAAATGTCCTGTCACTTACCATATTTTATTTTCTTACAGCATTTCCCACTCTTTGATGGTAACTGTAACAGAATTCTTCTTCCAGCAGAATCCACACTCTGGTTTAGATAGACTCACTAGATTTCTATTTTGCTGAATTTCTTTCCCAAGTACAGGTTCTTATGGGTCTAAAGTTCCCCTTAAAAAAAACCCTAAAGAAAAATATGCAACAATTACTGGCTTAGATTTGTAGGAGAAAGTGACTGGTTAACATTATAGCCATTTTGAAGAACGTGTCTTTCAGAAATGTATAATACAGTAGTAAGAAAAGCCCCAAGATGCTCAGAATTTATTTTATGCACTTATCAATTGGTACACTTTCTATCCTGTTTTAAGGAAGGATTTTGTACACTGAAACAAGAAAATAAGTAAAGACAGTGTCCATCTTAACATCCTGATACTGGCTGAGTCTCTTTTCCCATGCATCCTGGGTAAAGACTCTTTCTGTTCTCTCATCCTGGCTGCACTTTGATCTCTGAAGCAGTGCCATTTGGTTGTAAATGTGGTGCCTTTGATCTAGTACTTAGCTGGTCTTATTTAAAATAGATAGCTTTTTTTTTAAAATCTAAGTAGTGTTTACTAGGGCTCTCTCTTTATGAAAAATGGCTTAAATTGCTATTATTTAGATAGAAACTTGTTTCCTAAGAGTGCTCCAATCCGAATCTAATTCTCAAAATTCTAAAACCCAACAGCTCTAGTGTAGATTTTGTAAAGCCAAATTGCTATTAAAATGTGCTGCTGCTGCAGATGTCAGGTAATACTTGCAAAAACTTTGTTTGCTTTTTAATGGGGAACTGATTTTCCAAAGAATAATAAACATATCCTGCACTTAGGCAAAAATGGTCCTATCAGTCTGTCTAAACATAATACCCAATTATCCCTCTGAAATCCAGGTATTAATGTATTTTTATATTACTGGGTTACACATACCACACAACGTATATTGAAATGGGACCCTTTTCTCAAATAATTTTTTCTTTAAGAATTTCTTGAACATTATATTTGGTGATCTAGTAACTTTAAAAAAAAATTTCCTATGCTGTATTCAGTTATTCACAAAAGCACTGTGCTAGTGGGGCAGGGGACTTACAGTCAGCTAAGACATGGATTCTGCCCTGAGGGAACTCACAATCTGGAGGTGAAGCAGGAAGGCACAGCACTAGCAAACAATCACCTTGCAGTACAGTCATGGTCAGTGGTCCTCTTAGCCTGGCCTTGAATGTGCTCAGGAAACACTTCTAGGGAAGGTGGCATCAGAGTTCAGTAAAGGACTGCGGACTCAGGACCCAACATTCTGTAAATTTCCAGCAAAGTCTACAAGACAAAGTAAAACCAGGAACCCTCTGGTTTTATATAGGTGACCTAAACCTTGGAAGAGGTCTAAACTTTGAATGACTTTGCTGCCTATAGCTACATCCAAAGTCTTTTTTCTTATCATTCAAACCAAGGAGAAAACCCAAACTATTTTCCACATATATTTTAGAACTCCAACTCTATTCTTTCCCTTAAATGATTGTATTAGTTTTCCATCACTGTGACAAAATACCTGAGAGAACCAACTGAAAAGGAAAAAAAAGATTATTTTGGTCTGGTTTCAGAGGTTTTGGTCCATGGATAGTTGATTCTGTGACTTTTAGGCCTATGATGAGGCAGCAAATCATGACAGGAGTTTGTGGTACAAGAAAGTTGCTCACCATAGAGAGAAGAGTAGCTTGGTTCCACATGGCTGGGGACCAAGCCTTCAATATGTGGGTTTGGGGCAGCATTTAAGATCCAAAATGTAGTAAGATCATATGGAAAATTACTCTGTATTGTGATTTAAAGTAGCTCCTCCTGCCCTTAAATATTCTACTTTATTAGGCCCATTCAGATTTTATTTTTTTAATTCTCCTCAGTGTCTTGTCCTGCCATTTTTGAGGTTTTATACTTACTTCGTCCATGCATTGACCATACAACAAACATCTCTAAACACTGACCCTGGGTTAGGCCCTGCCAAGGTCTGGAGGTTAGGAAAGAGGATGAGAAGAGTGATCAGTAGTCAATTACATGATCACTACACCATTTCTACTATTCTATGACGTTTGAGGGAAAATCACAGAGGACCTGGAACCTGATTTCAGAAGCCCCTAACTGGGTTTGTGGAGATGGGGAGGAGAAGCAGTCCTCTGGAGAACATATTTTGAGTGTTCCTGGGTAGGGCAGAGATGGTTAACATAGGGCGCATGGGGTAGAATTGAAGAAGGGCTTAAAAACTAAAGGTAGTTGGCTTAATTCTGTGAGTGGTACAGGTCCTTTAGGCTGTGAAACTGTGGAAGAATGTGATTATTGGCATCTTCCTTCTTCTTCCATACCAGTTATCAAGCAAATTCTGAGAATCTTACATTTTAGGAAGTAGGAGACTTGGATGAGAAAATTAGCCCCCAAAGTTCAGATGGTCCAGAGCTCAAAGTCACTGAGAGGAGCAGGGCTACCTGACCACCCCACTGGCAAGGGCTGGGGCCTGGCTTCCCCTCCTGGGACTTGTTGTGTACTAGTAGTTGTAGAATCTACAATCCTGGGTTCAGGCCATCACACTCTGGGGCCCAGGTCCATGGGATTCAGAGTCCATATTTTTATAGGCCTTTACCCATCTCTGGATACCTCAGATACACATCAAGCCAGAACTTGAAGAATAGGAATTTTTATCTGTTAAAAAAAAGAGACAAGAGGACATAAAAAAAAAAAAGCAGGATATAGTAGGCAAATCGACGTGAGCAATGTGGAAGCTGGGCTAGGAGGATGGAAAGCAATAGTACCTTTGGGCACACGGGTTAGAATTAGTAACTCATTTGTCTTAATGAGTTACTAATCATAGGCTGTCTGTGTTGTCTATCCATGGGAAAGCCAAAATACTACAAATCCAAACTGCATGAACTAAGAGCAAAGGGGAAAAGGCAGTCCTCAAGAAAATTGGAGAACTGATTCTAGAACAAAAGAGGAATAAATGCTGGAAAAGCAAAAACAGAAGACATTGGCGGCAGCACCTTTGCATGAGCCTAGATGTAAAAGACTATATGACTGGCCTGTTCTTGGAGAGTGCTGTCATGTGCCAGGTAGTCTCAATATTTGAACTGTATTATTTAATTGATTTTTTACTTCAATCCTGCTATTGTTTCCATTTTACAAAGGGGGAATGGAGACACAGAGAAACTAGTCAATTTGTTCAAAGTCTTACAACTAGCTAGAGCTTGAACTCCAACCCCTGCAGTCTGACTCTGAACCCTGTGTTTTTGATCATTGTTCAAGAAACTCCAGTTTCCATGTTAATCTTCTTTCCTTACTTCTTTTCATTGAAATAGAGATTCAAGGAAGGTCCTAGTAATGAATTTAAATAACCTAGCCCACAATAGCAGCCATTACTCTCTTATTAGGACTTATTAACAGAGTAGGCAAAGCCTCTGATCCATAGTAGACATTGCGTAACTCTGCAATTCGACCAAAAGCCATCCAAGACAATCAAGACATTTGCATGGGCTCTACAACTAAAGGAAAATCTGCATGATCTTCAGGGAGATTAGCAATGGGTATGGAAGAACAGGTGCAGACATTGAGTGTATGAATAGAAATGTCCAGAGATTCACTGATGCAAGGATAAAATGGTGAGTTGCTGAATCCTTTAATGACTGCTTTTCTCCTTCCCTTCTCAAGTGCTGCTTAAGTAGAGCTGAGGCCAGGCGGGATGCAGCAAAAGTGGCCCTAATCAACTCCCTCTTCAATGAACTGCCTTCTCGCAGGATCACCAAGGAATTCATTATGGAAAGTGTTCAGGAAGCGGTGGCCTCCACCAGTGTGAGTACCATCAGGGGAGGGATGAGCTGGCCTCACTGAGAATACCAAGGAGGCGTTTGAATCTTGGGAGATGCTAAAGTGAGCAGATTCTTAGTTTAAAAATTGCACGGGTTAAATTTTTACCCACTGAATCATTACTTTTCAGCAAAAAGAATATTTGGATTAGAAATTGTGAAATTGGAGCTGGTTTTCCACTCCACATCCCAGTAATATTCTTTTTTTTTTTTTTTTGTACTGGAGATTGAGCCCGGTACTGCTTTACAAATGAGCTATATTCCCAGCTCTTTTTATTTTGAGACAGGGTCTTGCTAATGGCTGAAGCTGGCCTTGAACTTGTGATCCTGCTGCCTCAGTCCTCCAAGTCACTGAGATTACCACCACGCATGGCTCTGTAATATTCTTAATTTCCTTGGTCACAATTAATCAAACTTTACATTAAGGTAGATAATTTCATCTACCTTTATTTATTTATTTATGTCAAAGTCAGCCAATGTGGGGCTCTATAATCTGTATTTTTAAGAAAACACTATTTAAACAGTCAACCTGATACATATTAACTGTTATAATTATCATATTTAATATCAATTTATTTCTTTCAGAGAGCTTAGAAAATTTCTGTGATGGACACAATTAAATATGAAGTACTTTAAGAGCAAAAACCCTTAGAAATTTAAATAAGGCATTCTCTTAGCAATTCAGCACTGAATTATTAATTGCCCCCATGAATGATTTGGAGGTCCTCACCCCCATTACCTCCAAACTATAAGCCACAGAGGAAGCCTTGGGCCCCCACCTGTGACAGGTGTTTCTCTTGAGAGTGCTTGAAGGCAGGAATTTGGCATTACCAAAGGAGTAGCCAACTTTGGTTTGCATTAGCATGCATAAACCCTATCTAAGGTTTTCCTTTTGTTTGCCTCAATCTGATTAGAAAGCTATCCTTCTGTAAAAGCTGCTGTTATGAAGGAGACATCATCTGACTATCATGGTCCTTTCCCCCTCACAAATGCTCTTATCACATAGAGGAGATATTTGAAAGGGGAAAGGGAAGAAGAGCAATTGACCTGCCAGGGAGAAGGCAGGGAGCTCTGCACTATATCTGGTCTAAGGATGAAAGGAAGCCTTTATTTTCCGGCTCTGTAAATTTCAAGTGCCTTTGAGGAAGAGAAGCTAGGAAAATGATGCCTGATTTATATAAGTGTGGAATTTACTCAGGAGCAGGGAGGGCCCTCAGTGTAAATGTAATTTATCATTTTTTCATGGAAATTTCTAAAGAAAAAGAATATATATGGCTTGCAGGCTTCTGCATGGATTTCCTCTGGGATATTTAAAAAGCCAACATAAATATTTCAGCAGCAGTGTGTTAATGTTATTGCATTCAAAAGCTATAAATTTGCTGCTATCTGATGCTGGTCGCTGTTTGCTCAGCCTCACAAGGTCGCCATTGCCCACCTTCCTTGGAATTCAGGCCATGGGATATTGAAGGAGGCCTGCATGCCATTCCAGAGCTTATGTTAGCTTCTTAGCACCACTCCCCACAACCACACTGAAAGGGAATTTCATTTCTACCCATCATTCACCCACCTTGTTTCCTAAAGATTAAGTGGCCCGAGAGTGAAAAACTATCAACCAAGATCCATGTCTCCAGTCCAAATGCCAGCATATTATAAAAGCTCCCCCTAAGAATTATGGCAATAAAATGTGAATGGTCCATGCAGTTGGAGAATTCTTCAATGTCAGTTACATAATCTTGCCCAGGCTGTCAGTGAAATCAGAGCAAGGTCAGTGCTTTGAGAGTTCAGAAAGCAATGAAGTCACCTCAAAGGGCAGTCACACCAGCATTAACACCACCAACAACTAAAACCCTATGCAATGATATGGGAAATTCTGCTTTGGAATTACTATTCTGTCAAGTGTATAATTAGTTAACATTCGAATCAAAAGCTAGTTTCAAGTTGATTATAAAATCTTCTTTATTCTGAATTAGGGTAAGATTAAGGATTTTATCCAAAATCAACGGTGACAGTTGATTGTAAACTTGCTGTGTGGCCACAGGACTGATCTCTGGTCACTCAAATAAGTAACATTTTCTTTTCCTCCTTTCCTTCCCAAGGGAACTTTAGATGATGCAGATGACCCGAGCACGAGCATTGGAGCCTATCACTATATGCTGGAGTCAAACATGGGGAAGACCATGCTGGAGTTTCAGGTACCTGACTTCCTGATTATTCTATCCAGAAGCCTGGGAGAGATGCAACTCTCATCATTAACATCTCCTATTCTAATAACCTAGTTCTCAGCTGGGGGCAGTGGTACATGCCTGTAATCACAACAACTCATGATGCTGAGGCAGGAGGATCTCAAATTCAAGGTCAGCCTTGGAAAGTTAGTGAGATCCTGACTCAAAATAATATAACAAAGGACTGGGAATATAGCTCAGTGTTGAAGTACCCCTGAGTTTGATCCCTAGTATTGACTGAAAAAAAAAATAACTATTTTTGTTTAATTTTCCCTTTCTCGAGTCCAACACCATGGCTCCATTTTAGCCACACTTCAGTGAACTAAAACAAACAAGCAAACAAGGCAAAATTTTCACTTTTATGGAGGGAAGTAAAAGACTTAAGTCTAATATGTAGGTGAGGAACATGGCAGTCTTACTTCCCTGTAATACCCCACCAGCTTCTCAGTATAAAATTTCCCTTAAACCAAATCAAATTTAAAATTCTGGTTGTACCCATCTGGCTTATAATTTTCAGACACCATAGAGGAAGTTTCCCACAGTGTACACTGAAAGATACCACTTCAATTATAGTATCTCCGTTATATAAGAACTGCCTCTTCCTATCATCAACCAAATCAAAAAAGTTAACAGTCTGTTACCGTTTTCCGACCACTGCTGACCAGCAACAACAGAGCTGAGGAGCTTGCTACATTGCCTATTGCAGATGGTTCCCTCTTTATGACATTGCAGCTTTACGATGGTATAAAAGCATACCTGAACAACCATTTTATTTTTTCCTTTCAGTATAGGACTCAATAAAATACACTGCATATCCAATACTTCATTATAAAATAGGCTTTGCATTAGATGATTTTGCACAACTGTAGGTTGTGTTTTGAGCATGTTTAAAGTAGGGTAGGCACGTTTAAGGTAAGCTATAACGTTCAGTTGGTTAACTGCATTTTTGACTCAATGGCACTTTCAACTTACAATGCACTTCTCGGGATATTACCCCTGTGGGAAGTCAAGGTGCATCTGTATTTGCAAAATAAACACTTATGTTAACAACAATGAAAATAGTATTAATAAGTAATGCTTATTAGATTCTTTCTTCATCTGATGTGATGATTAGCACTTAACTAATGTTATCATAATTCAACTCTCGCAACAACTATATGAAGTAGCTATTATTATTATCTTCATGTTATTGCTGAAAAGAAGTTTGTCATAGCTTAGCAAATGGCAGAGCTAGGGTTCAGACCCAGGATGTCTGATCTCTGAGCTCACATGCCTGACTCTTATACGATACTGGGATGGACAAATGAAAATTCAGTGGGGATCAGGTAGGAAATATGTATCCCCTTAGAAAATGAAACTTGAATGTAGTCGAACATTTCAAAACATGCAATGATGCTAGAAATCAATATATAATATTACAAACAGGAGACTTTATCCCCAGTAATTCTATTTTCTTAGGTTAGATTCCAAGAAGTAACCAGAGATTACAAAATTAGATCCAAGAAGCAACCAGAAATACAAAATTTCATGGACAAAGTGTGAAAAAAAAAAAGTTTCATCATGGTAAAATTTACCAGGGTGTTACAGCTGAGGCCTGAAACAATCAACTTTCTAATACCTTCTTCATACATTTCAAATCTTTCTCCAACCAATGGCATAGCCATGTCTCATGTGTACACATCCCTCCTGCTGTTTTTTTTTAATCAATAATTTTCTTTATGAGTTGCCCCTGTGACTGAAGTAAAAATACTCTTTCTTCCTTTTGTCCTTGATCTTGGTCATCTAATTTTCTCCTTTAGGGGACATGGTGTTGCTGACTAGGGAGCCTTGGAGTCTACCCTGTGGAGCAGGCAAGGGCATGTGTTAGCTCTGGTTCTAGCCCAGACTCTGGGGTGCGCTGACTGGTTTTAGTCTTGCTCTGTTCCTTGCTGCTCAACCTGTTCCTTCATCTGGGTGTAAGTCAGGGACAATAATAGCACCACCTCACACTGCCCAAGTGAGAATCAAATGGGACATTAGGGGAAGAGTTCAGCACAGTGTCTGGCACGTGGCAAGTGCTTCCTGGGGGTCAACAACGTTACTCTATGTCTTTCTGGAGGACTGCTTTACTGAAATGCCAGGAGTGGCTAGATGGATTCCCTTGACAGCCCTGCCTAACCTAAAGCTTCAGATGTGGAATGCCCAAGATGACTGTGAGCCCCTGCTGCAGGATAAAAAGGTGCAACATCAGAAGGTCCATTTTTTTATAACAACATAAAACTAAACAAAAAATTAAAAGGGAAAAGAATGGCTCAAGAGAAGGAATTCACATTTTTTAAGATCACATAGTCCTGTGTGGGAAGCCTATATCACTTACCATCTGGAAGCTTGCCCATTCCGAGACTCAGTTTTCTTATCTATAAAAGAGAAACATTAATGCCTACTATAGATTAAATAATGTGACATTTATAAAGCACATAATATAGAACTGCCCACATGGAGGAAAACAAGTTTTTTAAAAAAAATTCCTCCCTTTACACCCCATCAAAGAATATTGCACTTCTTTTATTATAAAATGAACATTTCCTGCCCCACTACACAATACCTTCCATGTGATTTACTGGCTCTATTTTCAGAAAAATCGAGAATGATTTTTAATGTGATTGGGTCATTTTGCCAAAGATGGGGAAGTGAGGATTTTTAAAAATCTGAAAATTCCTTCCAAGTACTGTGAAAGGCTTTACTCAGCCTCCTTTTAGCAATATTTTTATTGCCTTGCTTTGGGCTGTGTTTTCTGTGTGGTCTATGTAATAGGGCATTTTAATATGTGAAATAATAATTTGAATCATACTGTGGAAATGCTTCATAAATTCCCATAAAAAAGACTGGGTACAGGATGGGGACAAAGGAAGAGGAAGATGTGAGGACAGGGAAAAATCCAAGCTCCCTCTCCACAGGAGAGAGTCTGGCAACCCTGGAGGAGGACCTGTGGAGCACATCCCTTTTCCTTCCGCCTACCTGCTGGGGACCAGAATGTTCCTTAGTGGCCTAGGCTAAATGTATCAGCATGGGTCTGCACATAATGGGAACTGACTCTAGACCTGGGCTGTTTCTGCAGAGACGCAGCAATTCAGTCCCCTGGTGGGTCATAGACATGTGTTTTTATCTAGCTATGGATGGCTATGCCATAGAAAAACAAGGTTGGTGTCTCCTGACTGCCCTCGGGCTTTCAGGGGGCCCGTGCTGCAGCCAGTGCTCAGAGGAAACATGATAGGCCTCTGCTTACCTTCACTTCGTGGGAGGGAAGCAAGGGAAGTCAGGGCTGCTTGTTTTAAGGTAACCTTGCCACAGAGAAAACTGCCTGCTGTTGGGGGTGGGGAGGGCATGGGGCAGCAATAGTCGCTGGGTCTTGTCAAGGTCAGATTCTAGGCAGACATTGACTGAAGCTGGTTAATATATTTATTCTGAAGCCTAATGCAATCCATGGAAGAGTTGTTTATTTACATCTTTGCTAAATTCTCCAGGTCGTCTTTTAAAACCTCATCCCATAAACAAATTTCCTCTTAAATCCATTCTCTTGGGTGGGGAGATGGTGCCCACCTGTTTTTCAAGTTCTCCATTTACAGTGTTTGTTTTTCTTATTTCTGATGAATCACAGAACCGAGCCAGTCTTTCAGACAAAGTTCCAGAGGGAAAGGGTGAGTATTTTCTCCCCGACAAAGTAGCCGAAAAATCAAACATCATGTCTAATAGGAGGCAACACCAGGCAAAACTGTGAGCACAGAGCCCGCTTGTTGCCAGTTTAAATGGAATGAATGAAAAATAAACCAGGAAAGCTGTTATTGAGAGCTGCAACTGCAATTTTCCCTGAAGAGGAAAGAAAACACAGGATTTATTCTCCATTCAACTTTAATTCTCTTTGCTAACCATGACCCCAGCTATGTAATTTGCAGGGCCCAAGACAAAATAAAAATGCAAGGGTCTTTGTTCTAAAACTATTAAGAAGTTTGAGACTGTAGCATGTTAAAGTTTGTTAAGTTTGAGACTGTAATATGTGCTGAACGCTGTGACTGCATAGACCTCACACTCATGAAGCAGGGCTTCCTTCTGACAGACATATGAGAAGGGCCCTGACTAGGGTTAGGTGAGTGAGGCATTTGTCTGTGGCACAAAATTGTAACAGACACTAAAAATGATCAAGGTAGATAATGTTATAGTGTAATCTTTTAAAAACTCAAAAGGAATGTAAAAAAACTCCTAATAAGTAAAAGATCAAAATTTTAAACAAAAGACTCTAAGTGTGCATGAATCATCTCACTCAGCTTACACATTTCTTCGCCTATCTCACCCTAAGAGGCCAGCTTCTGATTGTCCTGTCAGTCTAGCCAGGCTGCTGGGCTTCTAGATTATCCCATATAACAAACACCAGGACATAAAAGACTTCAGGGAAGGGCTGCTGTTGTGGCTTGCCCCACACATGTGAGGCACATTGGGTTCAATCCTTAGCACCATAAAAGTAAATAAACAAAACAAAGATTGTGTCCATGTATAACTAAAAAAAAAAAAAAAAAAGACTTCAGGGAAGAGCAGGACAGGATCTGGTGGAACGGACAATACTAACTTCCTTTAGGGTGACAGGACTTCTCCAGGTAGAAAGCAAGATGGCAAGCATCAGGCAGCGAGGAAGCATGGTGGGACTAGAAGATATTTCTCACAAGTCCACAGCAGCCCTCTCCCCTTCAGTCTGCAATCATGCAAGGATCTTTTGGGGCTGAGCATGTTGTCACTCAGCATCAGGAAGATAGTAAATTTCATCTTATGAGAGGAAATATGACAGGAAGAATAATGATGATGAGATTACTATCTCTACAAAGGAGGACCATTCTGAGGTCAGGATATAGTGTAAGAGGGTGAAAGGAGGTCATTTTCCCTAGAGAATTTTAGCAACCAGAGCAACATTGAAGAGGCAGCTGTGTTACTGAAGTGAAAAAGAGCTGCCTGGTGATGGGATCATGATTCAGACAAACCAGAGAAGGAATCTGGAGGCAAAATGGTATAATCATCTTTGGGAAAGTTTGTGAGAGATGAAGGTTGTCAAGGGGCATGAGAAAGGTTTCCAGTTCTGTTCACAGTGTCGTTGTGGATTTTAGAATCTTTGGGGATTTGCAGATTGGAATGACCTCAACTCATCTGGAAGAGGCAGCCCTTAGTGGTTAGATAAGTATGAGAGCCCAGAAGATCTTGGAGGAAGAAGAGTACATATTTTTAGGCAACAACTGTCAGAGGATGAATCAAAATGCCTATTAGCAACAGTCTGTTTCTCAACTGGACTATAGGGATGATAGGACAATACCAAGATGATACTGGAAACCACAAAATAAATCTAGTATATCTCTTAGTTGTCAACTTTAGATAGGGGCTGGGGTGTAACCGTGTAGAGATCTTGCTTAGCATGCTTAAGACTCTGTGCTCAATCTCTGGTAGCGTGCACACACACACACACACACACACACACCCAAAAAAAAAAAAAAAAACTTTACATAAAGATTTGGAGTGTGTGGGGGTCAAGTGGAGGAGTGGAATGGTATTTGTCTTCTTAAAAAATGGAAATTCACAGTGCTCAAGTAGATTCTTTATTAAACTTGAAACCAAAAGGGTTTTTCTATTTACAAATATCTGCCCTCCTATTGCATCATAGATCCTGTTCCATATTACAGTACGCACAGTTTACATTCACTTTTATGGTTACAAAGTATTTATGAGTAGATTTGGTGGGAAGGGTAGCACATATTTACCAGCCAGAGTCACTGAGGCTACTTTGATGGAAAAATGGAGAAGCATAGCAGTGAGAGCCTCATTACGCAAGATTTGAGTTCTGGAATGAAGCATTTCCACTTTTCCATATTAGTGTACTGATGCGATGGTGTGAAAACCTAGATGGTGTCCAGGAGAGAAGAGGCCATGAAAGGGTGGCTTCCCTGGATATTAGACCCAGGACCCCAGGAAGATAATGGGGTCTCTGGAGTGAAACAAGAAACTTGCTTGATATTCATATTGCATTTTTATTAATAGAAACTAAAGTTGTTTTTTTTTTTTTTTTTTACTATGGCTCTTTGGGCTCCCAAGATACTTATTGTTCAGTGGAAAACAGAAAAGAGAGCCAAACTTGATCTCAGACTGAAAAGAAGAGAAGCACTAAATTGTAATGGCAAATTTAAAGTAAGAATAGATAGAGCTACTTACTCCTCCCATAGTTTTATAGCTTTAAAATTTGCCAGACAATTATAAGATGCCTGAAATCTAAGACTAAGTATGTGTCTCCTGGTTTTCCTAATGAAAATTTTTTCCTGAGTAGGCGGAGGTAAAGACAGTCAAAAAAAAAAATATCAGCTTTTTGTATAAGTAAGACATCTGTCTAAATGTTCTTTTTCATAACCTTTCAAGAACAGGAAATTTTTAAATTGTGTTGAGTAATTTTCCAATAATTATGTGGCTGTGTTTTATGCTATTCATCCTAAAAGATATCTCTCTGGCGAAAACAAAGAAAAATAAAAATCCCTCTATAAGTGAAACACAGATAACTCTGGTGGAAAACTTCTAGCTCTAACTACATTAGGAAAATAATACTCTTCAGTATGTTGTTACATCTTAGCTTGCCCTTGATATCAGACAGTGAAAGGGAAAATGGAGCTCCTGTAGAACTTAATGCCATCAGATGTGAAAATGTTGACTTGTTTTTTCTTTTCTTTTCTTTCTTTCTTTTTTATTTTTATTTATTTATTTTTTTAGTGTGTGTGTGTGTTGACGTGTTTTAATGTCAATTCAACTTGATTGTCCACATTTTGAGGCATTTTTGACTGAATTTATAAATTTAGAGATGTTTACAGTTTTTCTGTAGTTTGTCCATTGTCTGTTTTATATCGTCATAAGATAAAGTCACAAAAAATTTAAAGATTTAGTTGGCTTTTATTTGCAATCCTAGAATCGGGCAAGAATTCCATAAAATAGAATACATATTCTCATGAGCTAAGTAGCAAAGCTTGAATTTACAGGCAGAAAACAGCTAAGGAAAGCAGAAACAGAACCAAAAATAGATTGGTTGTTTCAAAGTTAATTTCCTCTTAAAGGTTAAAGCAGGGACGACCTCCTTATCATGCTGGGATCCCAGCTACAACTGGAACTTGGCTATTATCACTTTCTTCTGGTTTCTTGGAAGATCAGAAAAACAACTTAGCTTCAGCTCCATGACAGGGAACATTAGCATGACTACATTTTGGTTTGGTCTGTTAGACCCACTGCAGGAGCTCAGTCAAAACTAGTGGCCCCCTGTAAATTTTATTTCATAATATTTACATATTTAGTTTGGGCTTAAACTCTTAAAATTTATTTATTTTTCTTTAATAAGTTAACATGGTTACATGATTCAAAATTCAAAAGGTTTTCTAAAAGATTAGAAGAAAGAAACCCTCCCACTCCCACCTCTCAGGCATACATTTACCCCTAGAAACAGCAAGTGCTACCAATTTTGTTTCAATTTGGTTTTTGGTACTTGGGATAGAACCCAGGGATGTTTACCACTATATTCCTAGCCCTTAACCTTCTCCTCCTCTTCCTCTTTCTCCTCTCTCTCCTTCTTCTTCCTCTTCTTCTCCTTCAAGACAATTTCTTGCTAAGTTGTTAAGACTGGTCTCAAACTTGCCTTCCTCCTGCCTCAGCCTCCCCAGTCATTGGTATAACAGGTATCTGCCACCATACCCGACCAGATTATTTGTTTGTTTGTTTGTTTTACTATTATTATTTTGGTTCTGAGGAATGATCTCAGGGCCTTACACACATGATAAGCCTCTCCCACCTGAACTACATCACCGACCTTATTACCAGATTCTTTTGTATTTTGACAGAACTCTTCCAGGCAGTTACATGTTAATGTGTACAGAGGGAGCTTTTATTCTGTTTTTTTTTTAAGTAGGTACATTTTTTTTAACCTTTATTTACTTATTTTTTTAATGTGATGCTGAGGATCAAACTCAGTGCCTCACACATGCTAGGTAAGTGCCTCTGCCACTGAGGCACAACTGCAGCCCCTCTTTTTTTAACAAATAGTAGCACAGACTACACCTGTTTGCACTTTGCTTTTGTTTTGATGATATACCATGGAATTCTTTACATTAGAACTTAGAGAATGTTCTCATCCTTTTTGTATGTGAAGTATTCAGTAGTGTGGATTTGTCATACTTTAAACATTTCTTAAAAGAAAAAAAAAAGAACATTTAAAATTCTCCCAATCTCTGACAATTTCAAAAAAACAATACAACATCTAACCTTGCCTTTACATTATTTCTCAGATGTGCTGGTATATTTATAAAACGTTTTGGGTGTATGATTATTAGAGCATATTGTCAGATCAGTCGGGGCAGGCAATGGCCAAAGGAGGCAGATTTAAAATGACCGCTGAACAGGCTTTATTGAGATATCACTCCCGGGCGGAACTCGATCAGACCCACAGAGGGGACAGGGGAAGGGTCTGAGGAGAAACTGCGTGGAAGCTTGACAGGACTGGACTTTTATGGGGCTTACAGCAGGAAGGGAAGGGCTTGGGACAGGAAAAGGTGTTTCTAGGGTCCCTTGCCCCCTTGGAGTTGGTCAGGGGAGTTGGCTGAACTCCAGGATTGGCCAGGGGGTGTCCTGTTGATTGACAGGCGTTAGTCAGGAGATCTGGCTGATTGACAGGCATTTCCGCCAGCATCTGATTGATGTTCTTTTCCGGTGCGGGCTGCTTTGTTCTAAGTTGCCACTAAGTCACCACCAAGTTGCCGCCACCGACCTAACACATATGACTTTTCATTGTTGAAAAATACATGTCAATTATTTAGTTACTGTGTTATGAAAACACAGATATAGAAAGGGCGTGAAGGATGAATTCTCCAGGAGCCTGGGGACTCTACTCTTTGAAAAGTCCCAAAGTATTATGACAATATTGTATGTTTCCCTGATACTTTGGGGGATCAGAATTATGCCCTGGTCCTCTCTTGCAGATGGACACTTCTGCTTCACAACTAATGACAACTGTTCCATTTCATAGGAGCTGATGACCATTTTCCAACTACTGCACTGGAATGGAAGTCTAAAAGCCCTTCGTGAAACAAAGTGTTCTCGACAGGTGAGACTGTTCAGTAGGTTTACTCTGTATGATAAAGCAGATGGCTGGTTGTCATCTTCCTTAATGTAGATTATTTGTCTACTTAAATTTTGTAATTATTTATCAAGAGTAGAGGGCACATGAAGAAATATATAAAACAGTCTGAATATATGAAGAATGTTGGCTGGACTTAGGACTGATATAAATACCTGTACTGAATGTCAAATGCAGCCATCATTGACAGACTTGGTCTCCGAGTTAGATGCAGAATCTCCTCCGGCTTGGTGCCTTCACAACCTCCAGTGCAGAAAGATGTTGAGACTCACTGTCTGGAACATTCTCACTGCCAATAGGCAAAGGTGGTTGTGGTTAGGGTATCCCCACCCCCACCCACTAAAAGTTCCCAGTGGACTACAGAAAGAATTGTAAAGTTGGACAAGCTGGCATTCAATCACCTCAGTTTTTTGGCAGTTCTTCCTTTTTCAGAGACAGGGTCTTACTCCTTCTTCACTACTTATGAGAAGCACCCTTTCCCCCTTGTTAAAAGCAAATGTAAACCCTCTCCTGTATATTAATGGTCTTCACCTGCTGGCCTCTGGGAGATTTATCCTTTCTTTACCCACCATCAGAATTTGAAAGACGGCAGTTTATTTTTGAGTATTTCCTAACAGGAATTTGTATGAGGAACAAAGCCTCTATAGTCAGCAAGTGGAGGCTGAATGTGAAAGTTTTCCTGTGCACTGCAGCCCCAGGAGTTTTCTGTTGTTCTTTGCTTAGAAAGCCTGGTTTTCAAAATGTCAAAAATGGAAAAGAAATGAGTAGCTGACAGTGGCTTTGGCTATTTTTTTTTCCCTCTTTCCTTTGATTTTGTAAGAGGCCTTTGAAATATGCTGGGTTGGTTATAAACACTTTTCCATGATTGTTTTTAATTTGTTAAGGTCATAAATAAATACCATATGTTTTTGAAAATAAAAATAAGCAATGCATCTACTCCATACAATCAAACCTATACATGACAGTAGGATGTATTAACAATTTATTTAACAGAAGAATTGAAGGTAGAGGCTGGGGTTGTGGCTCAGCAGTAGAGCACTCACCTAGCATGTATGAGGCCCTGGGTTCAATTCTCAGCACCACATAAAAACAAATAAACAAAATAAAGGTATAGTGTACAACTAAAAAAATTTTTTTTAAAAAGGATTGAAGGTAGTGGCTAATTTTTAATCATTTCCAAAGCAAGAGACAATATACCACGAAGCTATCATTATCCTGTCAATAATGATAATGTCTACATTCCATAATACATTTTTAACATTCTCTCTGTAGTTACCATGACCTATCTAGACTGTTATTTTCCTTATGTGAATAGCACAGCAGCTAGGAGGCTGACTCTCCTGGCTTCCAACAAGTCTTGTTCTGAAGCTCCCTTGAATAAACACTTCCTATTTTCTGCAAAAGGTGTTTCACTCTTCTATCTTGTCAAAGGAGATGATGCTGGGCAGAAGTGTCCAGTGAAAGAATGAGGCAATATTCATACCAATTTTTCTAGGAATATATTTTTCAAAAGAAGGCTTGTGTTTTTTAGAGATGTAAGGGCTTTATTTTGTGAACATTATTGTCCTTCCTACCTAATAGTATTTTGAGGCAGACCTGAGTGACTTGTTCGGCTGGACCAAAATCAGCTCATCATTTCCTTTTTAAAAGTATGTCCAGGAGATTTGGTTTTCATCTCTGGATATCAGAGAAATTTGGTTGTTGGTGAAGCCCAAGACTGGGGTGGAGGGGAGGGAGGCCTTGAGCACCGTGCTTCTGTGGCCCTCTACTGACACTCTGAATTTTGGTTTCTTGGTTCCCAGGAAGTCATCTCCTATTATTCCCAGTATTCACTAGATGAAAAGATGCGCAGCCACATGGCACTGGACTGGATCATGAAGGAGCGGGAGTCACCAGGAATTCTCTCTCAAGAGCTGCGAATGGCCCTGAGGCAGTTGGAGGAAGCCAGGAAAGCCGGACAAGAACTACGGTTTTATAAAGAGAAGAAAGAAATCCTAAGCTTAGCCCTGACTCAGATCTACAGTGACCCTGACCCTTCCTCACCCAGTGATGACCAACTGAGCCTCGCGGCCCTTTGTGGCTACCACTAGCAAGGCCAGGTCCCAGTGCCCCCAAGGACTCTAACCTTAGGAAGCTCTTTGAAGGAGCATCAATAGCTACTACCTGAAGGCTGTACTAACACCCCCATCCATGCCATTCATAGACCCTGGGAGTGATAGGACTCAGGCAGATCCCAATCTCCCACTTGATTTATTTTCTCATTACTTTCTCAAAAGCTTCACCTCAGAAGGAAAGATTGAAGACAGGGTTGTTTGAACAAACATTTTCCAGGGTTAGCTCCAATCTAAAGCCTAGCTGACATGTGCCTTGCTAGACTGTGTATGTTGTTTTAAAGAATGGACCAATATAGCAACCAGGACCAGGGGAAGTGGTAGGATAGCAATTAAAAAAAAATACTTGGAATTAAATAAACAATACAGATTGTTTTTAAAAATATAAAGGGTCAGAGTCTCTTTCCAATCTCTGAAAGCTAAATATCAGTTTTTACTCCACAAGTCTATTCCAAGGCAGCAATGGGAATGTTTTCTGAACATTTCACTATCAAAAATCTCAAAGTGGCAACAGTATGAAAATCTTAGATAAATTTAATGTGGATTAAAACACCATTGTAATAATTTTTTGAAACCCTATTCTTCCATAGGGGAAGGTAAATGTCACCTACAGTGGTACTCTTATTTTTCTTCCTCAAGAAGAAATAATATTCAATTTCTGAGTCTTGTAGTCAATCATATTTGTTTTTAATTTGCAAAGAGATGACTTGAAATAATTTGCTTTTATTTTTGCTACTGCAGACGTATCTACAATTGAGAAAATTAATCACATTTTAAACATTAAAACATTTTGAAAAATCATTAGCATGTAACAAAGCACTTTTGATTCCTTTCACAGGACTAGAGAAATCTTTACCTGTCTTTGTTATTAAGTACATAAGAAATCAGGAGCTCATGTACAATATCATTATTATTAAGTTAAATCACTAGAATCTTTTTTACAAGAGGGATGTTTCCATCTCTATCTGACCCATCTCTATGAATCAACCAACCAATTAGACAATCATAGTTAAATACAAACTAATTTTCAGATAGTTCCTGGCCATTTAGATTTAAGAATGACATCGGTAATTTTAAAGGTTCATAGATATTTCTATATCTGTAACATGAAAAGGATTTTTCTGAATTTAGACAAAATTCAAATTAAAGATTTTTTCAATTATAAATTGTTTAAATAGTCTCTTTTTCTTATGCAAATGCAGACTAACTTTCTCAAAGTTAAATCATTATAATTACATTGAAGCTTACAAAATATATTTCACCCTCATATTTAAATATGTACAAAGATTAGTGTCAATCCTTAAATCCTCATGAAAACCACTATATCTGACCATATACTTTGGAAACAGTCTTGATAATAAAAAATTATAAACATCCCATTTCTCAGACTAGGGGAAATTTTAATTACACAATTGTCCTACTCTAATATCTCAAAAAGGCAATGGTAAATTTTATCTTAAAATATTATTTTGCCAAAAGTCACATTCCTCCCATAATGGGGTTAAATGTCACCTAGAACATAACAATATTCCCTTATATTCCTGAAAAAGAATTACAATTAACTTTTGTATGTGGAATAAATTTTAAAGTTAAGTAAATTTGCTACTTAAAGTAATTTTTTTCATAAATCATTCCTCTTTACATTATCATTTCAAAAAGTCCACACTTTCCCATGTTGGGTATATCTAGAGTTAAGTTACTGTGAGGATTTGCAGCCTCAAAGGGACACCATCTAATTAAGTATAGGAACAGGGATTAGATGGGACAATGTCAAATTTACATTCTGTCCTACAATTAGAAAACTATACCCATTCTTTAAACTGCAAATAGAGGCAAAAGAAACAAAAGTTGAAATCTTGACTGGTCCCTTTGATTCCCATTTATAGCAAATCAATTTTGGCTAAGACAATGGCTATCAGAACATCACATAAACATGAGCAATCTTGGCACAGGGAAGAGCATGGTTGAGGTGCAAAGCAGATTTTTTTCTTTTCTTTTTCTATATCTTGTTCATTGTAATACAATGAAGTAAAAGGGACCACATATGGAGCCCTGAATCCTAATGGATTATTTTTTGTTGTTTATTTAGTTATAAACTCCTTGAGACTCTCAAAAAGGTTATGGTCCATCACCAAGGAAAATAGAACAAGACAGATACACTCAAAATTGAACAGTTTCAGAGAGTACATTGACCTTCCAAAGTCCACAGATTGCCTAAAGGATTATTGGCCCCCAGTTCAGACTCATAATTTTGAACACATACACACAGTCTCTTTAGTGTCACATCAGATATACAATGTAGCTTAGATATAGCCAGGCCATGCACCCTAACTCTAAGATAAATATTATCATCCGGAAGTACAGAATTCCACTGTTTGACAAAAGACAGTCTAATTTTCATAAAATCCAAATGTACCATACTGTTATGAAGAAAGCTTAGACAAACTAGCCACAAAACGTGGGTAAATATATCAGATTATTACAGACTTAATAAAATCATTGTTCCTCTAATGTTAAAAATCAGCTGTCCATTTGTTTAAAAGTTCACTTTTACTTTTGCTATTAATTTTATTTACCTATTTCTAGCAAAGAAATAGAATTCATGAAATGTAATTATTCTCAACCATGAATCTCATCATATAGGTCTCTAGACAAATGCAAAGGTAAAAAAACTATAATGGTTTAAAACTTTCTTATTTCTTTAAGGAAAGCACTTAAAGCCAAAGGTATCATTGTATTTGACTTTATCTATAGCTGAGATATTAGGGAATTCTGGGTTTTATCATGTCATGACATTTTTTATAGCTAGCTGACAAAAGAAGGCAGACTAGCAATGTTTTCATTATTGCTGCAGTCCGGCTGCAGCAAACTAACCGGGGTGGTGACGAGGAACTTGTGAAGACTGATACAGCAGGAGTGGGAGCCGTTTATTGTAGGACAGGAGGGGTATATATACATTACACACAGATTATCTTAATTAACATAAACTAGATACAGCAGTCAACCAATAAGGAATCTCTACACTTAATGGCTCCCTGGCGTTACTTCACAAACCACTCCCTCTGGCAAAATGCCAGGCGCCATCCTGACTTGTTTACAGACCCTAACATTTCCCCCTTTTGTTTAATTTAAATAACTACCATAGTGGTTTTTACAGAAACACCATAAATAACCTGCTACAAGCAGAAGGGGAGGATAAAAAATGCCACAATACCAAGCCAATTGATGGCTCCATGCAAGAAGCCCTTGGAAAAATTATACCAGCAATGACACCGTTAGCAAAGATACCGAGTTACAATTTTGTTGTAGATTAGTTTGTTGTCTCAGTCCAGGTAAAGCAGTGTCTCAATAGATTAACTCACAGTCCAGGTAAATCACAGTCCAGGTAAGTTCTGCAGGCAGCTAGCTTAAATCACAGTCCAGGTAAGTTCTGCAGGCAGCTAGCTTAAATCACAGTCCAGGTAAGTTCTGCAGGCAGCTAGCTTGATCCGAAGTCTCGTTCGGTTCTCAGTAACACTGGAAATTCTTCCATTTTTGTCTTCACTGGCACTGGGATGAAGGCAGGAACTCCTGATGGCTAAAGAAAATACTGTAGTATTCCAGCAGGCACTAAGAAAACAACCTTCTGAACAATTTAGTACATTATCTCAAGGTTTTTTACATTTGAAATAGGCCTTAATAGTGCTCATTACTCATTAGCTTCCAGGTGTGGGAGAACCATTGTAGTTACTGCCCTTGGAAATGATCAAACTTCAGGGACAAGGGCCATCTTCTGCCTGCAGCATCCTGGGCAGCCCCAGATGGCCCGGGGAGAGTCCGGGGAGTGTTCCGGACTCAAACTGCCACCGGGCACAGGGAGCAAGAACCTGTGAGACTGTGCCTCCGGGTCAGGTTTGGATTTGGGCTCTTGCAGTGGCGTCTGGCTCCCAGGGGCGGGGCCGGCCAGCTGCCGCCGCTTGGAAAACCCTTGCTGTGCCTTGACTGGCTCGCGCACATGGCAGCCGCCATACCGATTCAAGCACCCTCTGGTAACGAAAAGTATTCAGTAATAGCCTTTTGCTGCAACTTTTTTCCCAATAATCCTTCTTCTTCTGAACTTTCTTTTTCTTTCTGACTAGAGTTCCTGGGCTCTTATCAATACATGCCCTAACTATTCTTGGTTCCACTGGGGTGCCTCCTTCCCTTTGTAATTTACTTCTCACCCCTTCCATATTTTCCTCACAAACACAATACAATACACTGAGACAAAACAAGACACAAACATACTGTATCAATCCTCTCCATTTTCTCGAAATGGCCATTTTTCCTTTTGCCCTATCTGCCTAGGGACGAGCAGATTTGCTCCCGTCCTATCTATGGACGGGCAGCTTTTTCTCATCAACTTACCCCCGAGTGTCCCGGGGCTCCCCGGACGGGCCACCATCTGCCGCAGTCCGGCTGCAGCAAAATAACGGGGGCGGGGGGGGGGGTGACAAGCAACTTGTGTAGATTGATACAGCAGGAGTGGGAGCCGTTTATTGTAGGACAGGAGGGGTATATATACATTACACACAGTTTATCTTAATTAACATACACTAGATACATCAGTCAACCAATAAGGAATCTCCACACTTAATGGCTCGCTGGCTTACTTCACAAACCACTCCCTCTGGCAAAATGCCTGACTTGTTTACAGACCTTAACACATTATAGTTGACTATATTCACAGGGAAACCCTAATCAAGGTATTCTTTCCTGTTATTTTTGTTTGTTTCTTTTGCCATGTAGAAATGCAAAATTGAGATTTCTTTTATGGTGAAAAGTATAATAAAATTTTTAAAGAGTTAATATTAAGGGCTGGGGATGTAGCCCAAGTACAAAGCCCTAGGTTCAACCCAGTTCTGCAAAAACAAAAAAAGAAAAAGAAAGAAAGAATTAATATTAAAATTATTTTCAGCTAGGACTCCAGGAAAATAAAGCTCATTTTCCTTATCATAGTGGTTTTCAATTTTGGTTACACATTAGAAATAGCCAAAGAGCTTTAAAAAAAAAATCTGGATATCCAGACTGTATCTAAAATATATCCAAATGAAATCAACTCTTTGAGAGTGCAGTCCAGGCATCAGTATTGTTTAAAGATCCCCAGGTAATTCTAATGTAAAAGAAGGCTG